CTTACCTACCAACTAAAACAAAATAATATATACATAAATTCCAAGTATTCGAAACATTACAAGAGAAAGCTAATGTACAATGAAAAAAAAATGGTTGCCACTGATATATCTGTAAACCAAGATTCTTGACAGGAGTAAGTGCTATGACGGTGCCTACTTCTGCAAAATTTGTTAGGAGAGAGAGGTTCCATTCTAAAAGTAATGCGAATAACCCATTTTTACCAGTCTGAAGTTCTATGAAAACAGTAACTAAATTATAACCAATTTTAGTTTTCCTCTCAGTCCTAAAAATATCAGAGAGAAAATCCTTTTGATCTCAGTGCGTTTATAAGCCTTCATACTAGCTACAATTTAAAAAATTGATTAAAAATTTTAAAAATCAGAAAATCTGAGACTAGTATGTTAAATAAAAATTTAATACATATATGTATATATAAAATACATGCATATTTATATATAAATTATTGCTAGTGTTACTAATAATTTTTAACACAATCAAATTTAGTTTAAGGGGAAACATTCAGAAGCCAGAAGTTTAAAAGGTAAAATAACTAAAAGAGCTAACAATACTGTTTCAAGACCAAGTTGACAACCTAATTTTATAACCAAAATAATTCAATGCCCATTTAATCTGCCATATACTCAAATAAGGAGATTCTTTAAAAATGTGTAATTAGCTATAAAGGTGAAATAGCTTCATGAATCATTCTGTGCCTTCCATGCTTCTGAATAATGATTATAATACAAAACAACAATGGAAGAAACTCATGGATTCTAGGTTTGGTTTTAGGAAAACTCTTTTTTCTCTCCTTTTTCATGAAGCAATGAAAGTATTACACTGAACGTACATAGACATAGCTAAGATAAAATGTGAAGTTTAAATGTTTAGTCTTATCTCTAATTTAATAGCTTAATGAAAATTTATGGACAAGAAAAGCCTATTTATTTCTAAAACTGTCTTTTGAAAATCAAATACGTTCAGACAGGAAGGAAGCATTTCATTTCTACTTCTACATAGATGCAGCCACCTGTCTCAAATCCTTGGTTCTTAATGTACAGATGATAAAAATCTACTGTATTTTAGTGACACAAAAGTGACCTCTATTGTCTTTTAAACATCTTCATCAAATACTTTTTCTAGTTAATGACTCATCTGCTCTAAAATTGTAACTTTTTATTAATCCAGCAAAATAATAATTTATAACTATACAAGTGGAGTTTACCTATTCAGCATTCATCATTTATTCATCAAGCATTTACTGGGTATTAAATGTGGAAAGAAATGAATAGGGTACCACTAATATGACCCATAAATATATCCAAAAAAGAAAATCTCTCTCAAAACAGGTAAACGCCTACATAGATCTCAAAATTCCAAGTTGGATTTCAATTTTCAATCACATATTTGTAAACTGAATAAAGGATTGTGTTTTTAAAGGGAAAATTCTCACCTAATTTTTTTTTAATTTTAAAAGCAGGTAGCAAAGGGGAAGCAATATTCAAAAATAACTTCCCAGCATCCCTCTGCTGTATCTTTCTCTCTATGGCCCTGATATTTTTCATATAACCCATATCTAATGCAACTGTACTGTATACCTAAAAATGTACCACTCAATGAGAAAAAAATGTCCAAAGGATACAATATATTTTTCATATAATCCATATCTAATGGAAATAGTTTAATCATTTTAGATTAAATCATACAACAAATTACCCCCCTTATATTTTAGAAATAATTATATACAAAAATCAAGAAATGTACAATTTCTGAGGGATAAAAATCAGTTTTATAACTATTAGTCATATTTATCAATTATGACCTTCATCAACATATACATATCTGTATACTATGATACTATTGTCATAATATTTTATATAGAAAGGATTTCACCATCAGCTACTATTCACCAAATATATAATAAAACAAAGTATAAGTCTGATCATACTTTTTATATATGAGGAAAACCTGAGGCAAAAATGTTAAATTATTTGCCAAAGACCTCAAAAAGTTTAAAGGCTAAGCAGAAAATATCAATTGGAATCTATACTAATAACCATTTACTGATAAAGTGCATGCAATTTCCCAATAATATAACAATTATACATTTAAATTCACATATAAACATGTACAAATAAATGAAAAAGCAAGGAAAATAATTAAGAATGAATTTTCTGTACAGCCTGAATTACATAGAGAAGTGTGGTTTCAAACTCAAAGCTACTAAAGAGCTATTTCTAAGGGCTGGAGATTTAGCTCAGTGGTTCAAACCACTGCCTGCCTCGCAAGCATAAGGACCAAGTTCAATCCCTGGTACCAAAAAAAAAAAAAAATGCTATTTCTAGTGACTTATGAATATCAGTTCAGAGAAATTAGATTTCATATTCAATAAAAGATCATTATGACCCGAGAAGTTCATTTCACAGAATCTAATATACTTATGTAATGACTATAATGTATCTCTGACCATGCATTGAAATATATCATTATAGAAGGTTAGGCCTTGTTTAAAATATCGTAAGGGGCCAGGGATTTAGCTCAGTGGTTCTGGTGCCTGCCTCACATGCACAAGGGCCCGAGTTCGATCCCCAGTACCAAAAAACTATATATATCGTAAGAGCTATAAAATATATGTATACTTTAGATACACTATAATTATAAACATTCCACTTTAAATCAATAATGCTTCCACTGAATATATATATATATATATATATATACACACACACATATTTTATATACATATATATATATATATATATATCTT